CGTACGTAGTGGTGTAGTACGACGTACTTCGTAACGTAAGTAGTACTACTTACCTACCGTACCGTACGTACGTATGTACGTTACTTTCCTTCCTCTCTCTCTCTCTCTCTCTCTCTCTCTCTCTCTCTCTCTCTCACGGCACAACTTGATGAATTTGTATGTCTAGAATTTTGCATTTTCATCATTTTTTTCCACGACACTACACATGACTCCATATATATCATATCTCTCTCTAGAATTTCCTGTCTCAATCTATTTATGACTTAATGAAGCCATTTCCATTTGCAGGTGGGAGTGTTTGAAAGAGATTCTAACTAGTGATTTAACAGAAGGCATACTATGCAGCATTGGTATGCCAGTTAATGAGGGAGCTGTGCGTTATAATTGTCAGGTATTCTGCTTAAACAGAAGAATACTTATGATACGACCGAAAATGTGCCTCGCTGATGATGGAAATTACAGAGAACCAAGATGGTTCTCATCATGGAAACGTAAACCCCACCTTGTTGATTTCAAACTTCCTGTTGAAATTTCGGAGGCAATATCGCAAACCACTGTTCCTTTTGGTCATGGGTATCTTCAGTTTTTGGACACGTAAGCACTGCCCTTTTTTTTGCATCTTGATGTTTTCAATTGTTTTTCGAACTGAAATTAGCATATATTTGTGGTTTATTTTGTTTTTGCAATGTGAGAAAACTTGAGGTTTGTTTGACCATCCTCCAATTTAAAGATTTTATTATGCGCAACTATGCAAATCTGTGCAACTATGTAAATATGTAAAATTGTGTCCTTATTATACTAGTTTGGAGTGCTTGTTGAGTCGTTCTTTCCGAGTATTATATCTTTTCAATTTTCAAAGAATTGAAAATTTTTCATAGCTCAGACTAACTAGATTACTACTGGGGCAAAGGTGTAGCTAATGATGATCACAGCCTTAAAATGCACATTTTTTTATTGACGTATGCTTTAAATTTTGGATTGTTTAAGGTCATGCATGTCAACGTCCCATTGTTATCCATTAAGGGCTAAGCTTCAAATTCCACATTTTTTAGTTTGATGAAAGTTACATATTCTCAATGAATTGTTGACGTAAAAACATTCGATCATTTGAGTGACTCATTTTACCTCTACGGGTCTTAGAATTTGAGCCCTATATATATGGTTTTAAAAAAGAATTATTTTAAAGATTTTAGCGAGTTTGGGGTCCCAAGTTCAAATCCACACCTGAACAATCCCCAAAATAAACAAAGCATGAGGTCATGCATTTTGGATTTTTTTTTATTTCATTCTTCTATAATTGTTGTAATTATTACTCTTTTGGTTTGACTGAGGCTATGGCCCTTGATATAGCTAAATGGGGAACAAGATTCGTAAAGTGGAACTCAAATAATTGGGATAAGGCTCGGATGATGATGATGATTATTATTCTTTGAAGTTTAAATGCTTGAATTTTTTCTGTGGTTTCCTCTATTGCCTTGTACTATGTCAAAATGACATTAATTGAATGCTTTCTTTGCCAGATCAGTTGCTGCTGAAATTTGTGAAGAGCTCTATACACCAAATGCTCCTCGTGTTGAGCTTGCATTGAATGGTGTTGAAGTGTTCATTAATGCGAGTGGAAGCCATCATCAACTGAGAAAATTGAATGTCCGCATGGACTTTATTAAAAATGCAACATGCACCTGTGGAGGTGCTTACATATACAGCAATCAACGAGGCTGTGATGGTGGTCGCCTCTATTTTGGTATTCTATTTACTGCTAGCTGAACTTTTGTTCTTTTTGCAAATCATGGGATGCGCTCTAATTGAATAAAAAACATTAACTGACTTTTAAATATTTTATAACTTATAGGGAGTAATTCATGGATAACCCTGGAAGTTCAGCCCCACACTTAACAATTTCTTCAACTTTTCTAAGACTCATTGGGTTCTCTATGTCTAATATTCCTCTCCCATCATGTCATAGTTTGCATGCCTTGGATTTTTTGCTCAGCATAAACTTGTGTCCATTGTAGTTAGAGTAAATTTGTAAGGATCTCTCTTTTTCCAAAATATGGCCTCAACCCCACAAGAAGTTGACTTCAAGTGCACTGTGTTATATAGTGCTATTCATGCATTCTCTAGAAATTCTTTAAATTCTTTCTAGTTGTTATGTTTTTAATTATCTGGGACCTACACCTTAGGCAAGCAGTATTTGACTATTTTTCACTTGTCTGGGTTTATGGTTATTAGCAATTCATGTAGGCTTTTGAAGCGTATGGCTTTCCATGTTGCTTCTATAAGTTTGTCATCGTGCATTAGTTTATTGTATCTTGGATATTTTAGAAACTGGTACTATGCAATTTTGTGAACTCTTGTGGGCTATTATATAGTAGTTATGGCCTACTAGTTAGCTACTAGCATTTCTATCTAATCCCTGGGTTTTGAAAGGTCTGATAGTTTATACAATTATTCCTTTGATATAGATGGATGTGCCTGTGTTGCTATAAATGGAGACGTGGTTGCACAGGGATCCCAGTTTTCTCTTAAGGATGTTGAAGTTGTAACTGCACAAGTCGATCTAGATGCTGTAAGCTGTTGAAATTTGGTGCTTTATCATTTTAAATGTTTTAGTGTTGCTTTTCATGAATAAGAAATCAGTACTTGTGTATGCTTTGATCTTTTATAAAATTTAATATATTTACTCATGAGCATTTGGGCTTAGGTTGGTGGATTTTATAGCAAACAACTTCCACATGTTTATTTGGAAACCGTTTCCAGAATTCCTTGAAGCCTGTGATCGTGTTTTTTCTTCTTTCAATAGGTAATGATTTTGTCAAATTTCATTGAAGAGGGGAATACAGGATTATACAAGAAATATCATGTGGAGAGGAACTCCCACAAACCTAAGGCATTGAGAGTCCCAAGCACAATGGGAAGGTCTCAACATAAACTCCACCCGATCTCCATGGGAACGGAGCATCATTCATTTGCCATGTAACAACAATGAGTTGAGAGATTCCCCTGCAACAATTACATTTTTGGAGAAGGATTCCCATGTTGCTTTACATCCCTACTGAAAGCATTGGGCTGTCTTCAACCATTCCTCAAGTGGCCCAGCATTGCATCTTGCATCTCACAGGACTGCCATGTTCAACACTGTACTAATGTGCTTAAAGAAACCCCATATAGACACCTCTCCATAATTGGTGATCTCAACTCAAAATTTTCCAATCACTTCTAACCACAAACCCTCCATATCTATCACAGTAACACTTTCACGAGACACCTACACTTTCACGAGACACCTCTGAATTGTCCGGGATACTATGTCCAGCCATCCTACAAGACACAGATACAAGTGTTAGTGTCCAACGTGCATATGCATCTCAGAAATGCCAACAGCAAAAGTGGCCTTTCAAACATGCCCCCACCCACCCAAAAAAAAATAAGAAACAAAAACAAAAAACAAAAGATACTTTTGTATTGGATTTAAAAAAAAAACAACCAAGAGAAAAAAGAATAAAAAATAAAAGATAAATAATAAAGAGCAAGCAGAAGTGTCGAAGTTTTCTTTCATGGTTGAGCACACAGAAACATGCATGCATATTTGTTGCTCTCTGAATTTTTGTACGTCATGAAGTGATTTTGAGGTATAGAGAAACTTTCTTACCATCCAAGTGGACTGACGTGGCCATGCCATCAAGGCTCCAAAAGACACCTTGTATTGAAATTGAGATATACCTAGAAAATTCTAAAAATTGGTGCGTTGGTGGGCTATGCAAAACACCATATGTCTCTCTAGGTTGGTGTCCAATTGAGTTAAGAATTAACCACAATATGTTAAGGGTATGGGGTAGTTGGTTGTGTAGCAGGGACATATCTGATTTCCATTTGTGCTTGTTTGACTTCATGTCCATAGTAGATGCATTGTGTGTTTGTCTTGGTTTCAGCCCCAGAGGGTGTTGCTCCAACTCTTCTTTTTGCCAACTCAAGAAGCAAATGGTTGAACCATGATTCTTGCAACCCATATTCTTCCCTTTTCCTATTTTAGACGTCATTTGGACAGATCAAATTTTGGGAACAGGGCCATTTTTTTCCTCCACTTACTTAGGAGTTGAAAACAGCCTCAGTCCACTCCACTATTCAAGGGTGACAAACTTTTGTAATCCCGCTTGCCAAGAAACACCAAATGTCTGTCACCCTGCCAAAACAGAGAAAAAAAAACGAAACCCTTCTTTTCCCCCATTTTTAGGTAACTCCCTTGCTTGTTGGTGTTGTTCAGCTGTCCAAACTCCAAACAGTGCCTTAATACACCAAGAATTTGTCTTATTTTATTTATCTGCATTGATTCTACTCCTAAAATCTGAAAAGTAGTTTATAATGGGCTGCTTTTCAGGTTGTCAGCTATAGAGGCTCATTTAGCAGTTCGAGAGAGCAAGCAAGTAATGCACCTGAAGTTCCCCATGTGATGATTCCTTACAAACTTTGCCAGCCCTTTAGCTTTCAAGACTTCCCCTCTATTCCAATTAAGGTAAGTTACCATTGATGTTATCTTTGTTTTGTGCTGCATTTAGTTATTTGAATTACCTTTTAATTAAAGAAGTTCATATAATTGCAAAATGATGATAGTAATATTCTGATACATTATATATTCCTATATTACATATTTTTTATTTTGTTGTGTTGTTAATTGAGTAATATTTACATGTTCTTTTCTATTTATTATACAATAGGTTCAATGTTTTGGAATGATAAACTTGAAACAATGCAGATAATATTGAGGTGGCACCTGCTCGATGACATTCACAACCAAGAAATAGAATATAAAGATGTCTGCGTGCTTGCACATGTGTGTGTGTGTGTGTGTGTGTGTGTGTGTGAGAGAGAGAGAGAGAGAGAGAGAGAGAGAGAGAGTGCAATATAAAACTGGATTGGAAAGGGAATCCGTCCAACCCAATCTGATGCAATCCCCAACCCAATCGGTCGGAACTGTTAAATAAAACAAAGAACAAAAGAGAAAAAACTTCGATTGGCTGCTTTTACAGTTCAGCTGACCAGTTTTACCAGTTCATTAGCCTGATTCAATCCAGTTTTCTTTTTTTACAGAATTAAGCTTTTTCCTGAACTGGATCAGTTTTGGTCCATGTTCTCTATCCAACCAGTTGAACCAGGTGGTCCAGTATGCTTTCATAGCATTTGAGAGGAAAATATGTAAATTGCAGGACTTATTTTTCATTATTTTGTAATTTAGATGTATTAAATATCATGATTATAGCTTTATTTCTAAGTAGTTAGCTTTTATGAGAAAGCTTTTGAAGAGCTCTAGGAATTTAAAACTATGTCAAACTTGTAGTGATGTTTTATGGTGATCAATATGTCATCATCTTGGAGTTAAACTCTTCAAATTATAGTTCCATAATTCATTTAAGCTTCTTGTGATGCAGATCCGTTATCACTCCCCAGAAGAGGAGATAGGCTATGGACCTAGTTGCTGGCTATGGGATTATCTTAGAAGAAGTGGAGCTTCTGGGTTTTTGCTTCCACTTTCAGGTGGTGCTGATAGTTCTGCTGTGGCTGCTATTGTTGGATGCATGTGTCAACATGTAATAGAAGGTAGTTTTATCAGTCCCTGTTAGTGTGCATCTAATTTCCATGTTCTTTTATACTTTAACAAGTTTTGTCAATTGTCCTCAATATACATTGGTTCGTGCCTTCCGAAAATGTAGAATAATTCGTTTGCGTATGCTACTTGTTTTATTAAACTATTCTCAACCAAATAGACTCTCTCATGTTTTCTTCTTTTCTGCCTCTCATTTGTTTCAACTTAAAATGGCATGGATGTCTACAGCAATCTTCAATGGAGAAGAACAAGTCAAAGCTGATGCAATACGAATTGGTCAGTACAGAAATGGAGAGTTTCCAAAAGATAGCAAAGAGTTTGCGAAACGCATTTTTTATACTGTTTTTATGGGATCGGAAAATAGGTATGTCTTGAAATTTCTGAACATCTGGCATTAGTAAATTTGGCATTAGTATGGTGATATGGTTTCGGTTGATGTATTCCTAGTTGTTTTGTTTGCTTTAGGTCTGTTCCAAGTGCATTTAGATATCTTTTCTGTTTTTTTGGTCTGTCAGCTTGTTTTGCAAGAGAGGTTGAAACCAAAGTTCTCTACCGCTTAAAATCATGTATAAAATTTTGATGGCTCAATATTATAGACCAGCTTGGGTTTCGTTTTTGTTCCTTTTTTGTTTTCATTTCTGGAAATTTATGTTAGAATTGTTGATTTGTATTTGTCCCTTCAGGCAAGCAGACCTAAAAAGCATTTTTTTGTGCTCTTGATAGTTCTGAGGAGACAACAATGAGGGCAAGGGTTCTGTCAGATGAAATTGGTTCATGGCATATTGACCTCAAGATTGATAATGTTGTATCTGCCCTGATCTCCGTGTTCCACTCACTTACTGGGAAGCGTCCTTTTTATAAGGTAACCAAACATCTAAAGATCTTGAAGCAAATATATTAACTGGATATGCAAACTCTAAATTGGACCCCCAATGTTCCTTAAGAGCTAATATTTATTTTTATTTGGATTGTTTTTATCAAATTATGTCTGGTGGTTAAGACTTTGTTGGTGTTTCCTCAAAAGTGAACTTTGCGATTCCTTCCTGTCAAAACATGTTAGTATGTGCAGTTTTACACTTTTCATATGCCTACAATTGAATGAGTATAGCTGAGATTAGAATGTTGAGATGGATGAGTGGCAAGACAAGAAGGGGGGATAGAATTCAAAATAAATATATTTGGGAGAATTTAGGTGTGGTACCAATAAACGATTTGATGAGAGAAAGTAGACTTGGATGGGCTGGTCATGTGTGGTGCAGACCTAGTACAATACCTATTGAGAGGTGCAAGTTAGTTTAAGTGGAAGGCTCAAAAAAGGCAAGGGTAGGCCCAAAAGGACATGATTGCAATTATTGAGAAAAATATGAGGACTTATGGCCTCACTGAGCGTATGGCCCTTAATGGAGCAGAATGACGGACCAAGATTTGTGTAGCCGACCCCAATTAATTGGGAAAAGGCTTTGATGATGATAATATGCCTACAATTGGAAGAGGAAAGATATTCTCTCCATGTTGACATTTCAAAGTTTCATAACTTGAAATCCTGGTTATATGTTATAAATTACAGTACTTCTGAGAACAAGCACTCAAATAACTCATCTGTAAACATCAAATGGCTTGGATCTTAGGCAGCAAGGTATCTTACTCCACAAGCATCTAAATACTGCTTCTTGATTGGATACCACCATAAGCTAGTTCTTCAACAATATGTAATCTTGTCCATGCACATGATGGATGTTATGGAACTTAGAAGAATAGGAGGGCTCTCCAATCTCCCAAAACTTGGAAGCATGAGATCAACAAGGTTAGACCTTACAGTTATCTTTTCTTTTAAAAAAAGGAAAAAAAATGAAGAATTGCAATATTAGATCAAAAGAGGAGAAAGCTACAGTGTCAAGTGTCTTAAAATCTAGACAAGATTTTATCATGTCTTGATTTTTGTGAAATATCAAGAATTGGTTAAACAATGATAGATCTGGCTCAGTCAAGTTCCATTTTAATGGTTGCTCCCTTGGCAACCGCGGGTCCTTTAGTATTGGAGGACTTTTCAGAACTCATGATGGCAGTATCCTCTTGTCCTTCTCCTGTCCTATTGGTCTAGCGGACTCTACTCTTGCCGTGGCCCTTCCCTTATTGGAGGACTTTCGCAAGTTTAATCCCTGTTGGAGTTTTGTACTAATTGTGGACGGGGATTTCAAAAACACCATTGACTGGGCCTCTAAAACCACTCCCTGCCCATGGGGACTTGATTGCATTTTCGACAAGATTACTCATATTTATTGGGGCCTGAGAATATCGTTGAGACATGTCTATAGGGAAGCCAACACCGATGCTGACTCATTGGCGAAGGAGGGGGCCAATCCAACCAAAGTTTTACCCTTATGGCCTCCTGTTTTTCCTCTGCCTCTACCCTTTTGTACCTCTAACTACGAGCTGTATATCATTTTTTGGACCCTTTTGGGTTTTTGTATAGGGTGCCTGCATAAGAGGTGCCTCATTTTTGTACATTTTATCTTTATGCAATATAAGTGAATATTATTAAAAAAAGAGGATAAATCTTGTACAAGTCGAATATGTTACACCATGGTGGATGGAATTATTTTTCATTTCAAAAGCTATAAAATGGCACAAAAATAACATGATGTTGATGACAAATTCGGCCTGACTTGTCTTAGAAGGGTGAATTTGCAATTTGATATATATATTTATATGATGGATTAACCAAATCTTTGGATGAGCATTTTAGCTAAACTACTTTTGATGATTGACTTGTCAATACTAACTTTATGCAAGTGATGATCATAATGATTAGTTCACTTCCCATCATAAGAACATAGGGTGCTTGACATGTCATTACTAGCTGTATGCAAGTGATGATCATAATGATTAGTTCACTTCCCATTGTAAGAACATAGGATAATGACATTAGCACACTTTCCACCTAGCTGAGATGAAAGTGTTTTGAAACATCAATTTATTATTAACAAAAATGCATGGGCTTTGGCATGTTTTATATATAAACCTTTTGACTTTTAAGGCCTGCAGTCTTCTAATTTTGTCATAACATCCCTTGCTGGGAAGGCCTGTTAATTCTTTAGTGAAAGAATATTGGTTAACAATAAAATTCAAGCAACAAGTCCTAAAGCATCAGTCAGAATCTGAGCAGCTCCTCTACATTGGTGCCTTATATGGGATGATGGAATGCGTCATACTTCTAATTTGGTATTCGTTTGTTATGTTGTGTACATGTAACTGGTTTAAGTATGCCTCTTAGATCATGTTCTCCGTTTTATTCATATTCAATGTGCCATATGAAGAATAGTTTGTTCATTTCGATGGTGGAACACCATTGCAAGTAAAAGTTTGTTTCTTGTCAATAGATGTGATTAATTTTGGCTCCTGAATAATGGTTATCACTATGAGCCATTTTATGGCGCCTTGGAAATGAGAAGAGTAGGGTAAGTCGGTGGATCACGAATTTAAGGAATTATAAAGTTGTGCAGGTTGATGGTGGTTCAAATACTGAGAATCTGGCACTACAAAACATTCAAGCTAGAGTAAGGATGGTGATAGCTTTTATGTTGGCATCACTTATGCCTTGGGTTCAAAGTAAATCTGGATTTTATCTTGTATTGGGGAGTTCCAATGTTGATGAAGGACTGCGTGGCTACTTGACTAAGGTAATTTGATTTCTTTCATTCATGAATCAAAGAAATTTGCCGGGTGTAATGACAGTCAGTCATTCATTATTTGAATTAATACTGTTAATCATAAAACACGCAAACGTTTCTTGGACTTTGAAGCTAATCATCAAAGTATGTGAGTATAATCCACTACCTTTGAAAGCTACTTTTTGTTGTGGTCATCACCATCGAATGAAACAACAGATGGTGATGTGGAAAGAGGGTTTGTCCCACCACTAGGGTTATGTCCCCATCTGGTGCATCACTCCAGCATTGACCATCATTATATTGGATGGTGCTGACCTCGATGGACTTTGGCCTTTCATAGTCCATTATGCTATAGTATACTTTCCCATATCAAAATTTTTCTAACATTGGAGATATTGACCCTTAATGATTCTTGTTATGCTATTTTGGCATAGTATGATTGCAGCTCAGCCGACATAAATCCTATTGGGAGTATAAGTAAGCAGGATTTGCGGTCATTTCTCCGGTGGGGAGCCAAAGCTTTGGAGTATCCATCTTTGGCTGATATTGAAGCAGCTCCTCCAACTGCCGAACTTGAGCCTATACGTACAAATTACACTCAGGTACTTGAACTCTTTTGGTGTACATTTTCTTTTTTGAGAAAGTTTTGTCTCATGTTTCAAAACCTGGATCAGTGGGGCAGATCGATTACACATAGATCTGTTTCATATCACTAGATCAGCGATCCTGATTGGGTTTGAATCGATCCGAATCGGTGATATGGGAAAATATTAAAATAAATGAAATAAAATAAAAATTAAATAGGGGTGTATGGGTTGGGGATCTAAGAGGGACCTAAGAAAATATTAGAGAAAATCTAAAAAGAAAAAAAAGGAAAAAATATATATTAAAGGGGAGGGGGGTGGTTGGTTTTGGGGGGAACCGGGGCCAGGACTCATACCATCCCGGAACTGGTTCGGTCACGATCGCTACCCATCCAAATTGGCAACCAGGATCGGAAATTGTTAGGTTTTAAAACACTCGCTTTCTCAAAGTTTGTGCAGTTTGTAACATTATGCTAAGTTGGCGCTGTGAGGCGGAGTCATAGTGATTCAATTGAGACTGGATCCAATGTCTTGTGAAACTCTACAGATTCGTAAGAAAATAGCAAATTCCTAAAAGAGTTGGCGTTGTTGCATTTGCATTTGGTTTTAGAATCATTGTCGAGGTTTGAAGTAGATTTGATATGACCTTGGTGTCATATGCAGTTACGTAACAAAGTTGTAGAAACCTGAAAGCCAAGAATTATTCATTAGAAAAACAAAAAAGTAAAGAACCCCAAAGCCTAAAAGGCCATGTTGGACTCTTTGACTTGGTTCCATATGGTAGAAAAAATACAAGACGATCATGATAACCATAGAACATCACGAATTTGTTCCTACTTTTACGGCGGTATAGTGCCAAACTCTAATTCTTCTGACATATTTAGAGAGAAATGAAATAGAAGCTCTTGGCAGAATGCATACTTGACATGTGATACGTGTTGCTGTTTATATCAGTTGGATGAAGTGGACATGGGGATGACTTACGAGGAGCTATCAGTATATGGACGCTTGAGGAAGATCTTCCGATGCGGACCTGTCTCAATGTTTCAGGTTGGTCCTGCAATCCCTAAATTTTGAAGATACTATACTGACAAATTTCTTCCCCATTGTGTTGTTGAATTATATATATAAGCATGCCCAAGATTCATCACCATTAAAAAGACCTTGTTAAGGGTATTTATTTAGGGAAAGGTTTCTATATTTTCCTAAGGGTATTTGTTTCGGGAAAGGTTTCTATATTTCCCCTACTACATAGAAGATATATGCGCCCCCCCCCCCATCTAGCCGTCCAATTTAGATTAAGTGAGCCACTGACCACTTGATCTAGATCCGATGCCTCACAGTATTTTATTTTTAATATTTTTCATAAATTATATGAATATAAAATTTGGTACGTGCCATCATCTTAATGGGGCACACCTACAAAAAATATTAAAAAAATTTCAGTAAAATGACCCAAATACCCCTTATATCTTTCAGAGGTATTTTGGTCATTTTATTTTATTGAGAATATGTTTTTATATTGTTGACAGGTGCGACTTTAAGAGAGGAGTGGACACACAAAATTTCATGTCAAAATAGTTTGTAAAAAAATATTAAAAATGAAATAGTGTAGAGATGTGACATTGTGATTGGGGCAATCTCAGAATGGACGGTTGGATAAGGGGAAGCATATAAATTTTATGCAGTAGGGGAAACATAGAAAGCTTGCCCATTTGTTTAAACCCATTTTTTGCACACACACTTGCCCATGAAAAAATTCAAAAAAGAAACCTAAAAGGTGGCTTTTGAGAAGAGAGAAATAGAGTAATAGTAGCCCATTTTCTATGAACTGGCAGATCTAGGGTTGGATGAGTTCAAAATTGATTAATTTTGTTCGTTGAGTTTTTTTAAGACCATCCCCAAAGCTCGGGGTCAAAGAAATCACGTTAAGACGGTCTTTTCGAGAGTGGCATAGCATGGGTATATGGGATTCCGGGGGTATACATGTATTCCACACACGCATATATAGGATTCCCAGAGTATATAAGTATTCCACACAAAGGAATTCATGCATGTATGCATCCACACACGCACACGAACCTATATATATTCATACATATTAGAAATTAAACTAAAAGCAACCATTCTGGATAGATAACTATGTGTTGCTTTTCTATGAGAATAGTCATATTATTTTCTTCTGATGGGTCCGAAATCACATACCCTCATTTTTACTATTAACTCTGTCGTTTTCTTTTACTTTTGGTGGTTCAGTATCTGTGCCAGAGGTGGTATGGGCGACTTGCGCCTTCTGAAGTTGCTGACAAAGTCAAATACTTCTTCAAATATTATTCCATGAATAGGCACAAGATGACTGTCTTAACACCTTCTTATCATGCCGAGGTTAATCATCTCTCTCTCTCTCTCTCTCTCTCTCAGCACACAGAAAGATCAGGAAAAATTGAGTGGCATATTGTAAATTTTGCAGAGCTATTCACCGGAAGATAACAGGTTCGATCTTCGCCAATTCTTATATAACACGAGATGGCCTTTCCAATTCCAAAAGATTGATGAACTAGTGAAAGAAAGTGAGGCTCAAAAGGCCACTTCGCCTCGAAGCAGTGGGCCTACTGATGCAGAAGCAGCCGCTGCCCATGGAAGTGGTATGGGAGTGGCCGCTGCCGGCTCTGGAAATCCAAAGGTTGGCCTCTAACGATGTTTTGTAGTTGGTCTCAGAAGAGAAAATCATACTCATTTTTCTCTCCTTTTTTTTTTTTGGTATAAGCTAGAAGATTGTCATGTGGGAGAACATTATTCGTTCACTCCCTCATAAAACTAGGACTATTTTTTAGGACCCCAATTCTTGGGATTGGAACCTCTAGTGACCAGCCTCAATTAACAATAAATAAGGTTTATATAAGGTGTTTACGTTAAATAGTCAAACGTAAGGTGCACCTTCAAACTTCAACCAAAGATGTTGTTTCGGTGCTTGAAACCTTACGATGACCCAAAAACATATTTCCACCTGTTATTATGAAATTTAAAGTTTCAAAAATGGTATAGATCAAGTGAACCTGCAAACGCTTGAGAACCTTTGAAATGGTCAGTCTAGATAATGTGTTACACGATGTAATCTTTTTAGGATTTCAAGTTTTTGTTTTTTTTCTCATGTCCATCCATCTCAAGGTTGAGATAATCAATTGGAGTGTTTTCTAGCATTGGAACAACCTTTATCAATTGATTTTTTAGATGCATTTACTTCTACAATATAAGGTTTTGACATCTTATGTATTTTTCTAATAATATCCATAATATAATCAAATAAAAATGTATATAACACTTCATATGAAAAATTAGATGGTTAGGTTTAAAAGTTTAAGAACTCAATTTTTTTTTTTTTTTTTAATATTCAATGCTTCTGATCGCAAATTTTTTGCATCCAGCAAATGCTTTCAAAATCCTATGAAGTTAGACTTTTGCCTATGGGAGTAAATACATGGTAGATGTATTTAAGAGGGCAATGTTGGATTTGATGTTATCAAAAACCACCAACATTAAGATATTCCCAAATTATGTGGGATTGAGATATTCTCAAATTATATAGGATTAAGATATTTTCATATTGTGTGAGATTGAGATATTTCCATATTATGAGGGATTGAGATATTATCATATTTTGTGAGATTGAGATTAGAGAAATGATTCTATAGGACCTTCATTCACCCATGTGTATAGGACCCCGAAAGATCATTATTAAATTTGGCATGGATCTATAGAAAAGTCGAGTCCTACACCCATGTGATAACTTTTCTAAAGATCCGTGTCAATTTGAATGGTGATCATTTGGGGTCCTACACACATGGGTGGGGGAGGGTCCTATAGGATCATTACACTTGAGATTAATATTGATAAGTTTCCTAAGGGAAATATAAATCCAAAAAGATTAGGACCTTTTGGATATATATCCTATTCTTACTAAAAAAATAAAGGTTTCGAATGCAAGGTTCGAAGCGGAGAAATTTGATGGTAAGCATTATGTTTCAACAAGAATTATGAATAAATTTATTTGGCAAAAGATGAAGAATCCATGAAGCTATCCAATGGATGTTGGCATGGTGAGCATGTGATTTTGATATCAAGGTAGAGATTGTTGGATTTAGTGCTATAAAAAATCACCAACATTAAGATATTCTCAAATTATGTGGGATTGAGATATTCTTATATTATGTGGGATTGAGATATTTTTATATTATGAGGGATTGGGATAGTCTCATATTTTGTGAAATTGAGATTAATATTGGGATAGTCTCATATTTTGTGAAATTGAGATTAATATTGATAAGTTTCCTAAGGAAAATATAAATCCAAAAAGATTAGGACTCTTTGGATATATCTCTTGGGTTTTGAGATATATGCAACATCTATAGGAAGTTTTCTATTTAGTGTGGACTACTAATCTTATATATATGGGATGAAAGTTCAGAGAATTGGTGTGCCTAATTTGGATCACCATATGGGAATGGTGGTTATTCTAGTAAGAGAGGGAACTAGAGTCTTTTGTGTATAAGATGCAATTTCCTCTTAGAGAGAAGAAAGCTTCCTATTGAGAGAAACTTTGTGATGGTGCCTCTTGTTGACTATCGAAGATTGAGAGCCTTGTTTCTTGTAGAGAAGTGGTTCCCATAGAGATTTTTGGTTGTCTACCTTTTTAGTGAGATAAAATCTCGTTTGCTCACAAAGTTGTTCTCTTCTTAGAAAGTTGTCTAGTTATAGAATATAGATGAAAGAACGGCATGGTGTCGTTTGGGAGAGCTGGTTTGAAAAGGGGTTTGGTCGACTTGTGTTTTTGGCGATGTTTGTTCCAAACTCTTTGATGTGACTTTCATTGGAATAGTGGATTTATGTTTGTCGTGCTCGTGGATGTAGCCATCTTGGGATGAATCACGTAAATCTTTGTGTTCTTGTTGTATGTGTTTCATGATTTATTTCTTGTACTTTATTTACTAAAAAAATCAACCCATCAGATTTAGAGCTTCCGTGCACAAGTGGTATCAGAGCCAAGTTTGGGGGTTTCGAGATGGCAGTAAAGGTTTCGAATTCAAGGTTCGAAGTGGAGAAATTTGATAGCAAGCATTATTTTCAGCAAGAATTATGAATAAATTTATTTGGCAAAAGATGAAGAATCCATGAAGCTATCCAATGGATGTTGGCATGGTGAGTATGTAATTTTGATATCAAGGTGGAGATTGTTGGATTTGGTGCAATCAAAATCACCAACATTATGACATTATCAAATTATGTGGGATTGAGATATTCTCATATTATGTGGGATTGAGATATTTCAATATTATGAGGGATTGAGATATTATCATATTTTGTGAGCTTGAGATTACTATTGATAAGTTTCCTAAGGGAAATATAAATCCAAAAAGAGTAGGACTCTTTGGAAATATCTCTTGGGTTTTGAGATGTATGCAACATCTATATGAAGTTTCCTATTTAGTATGGACTTCTAATTTTATATATATAGGATGAAAGTGCAAAGAATTTGTGTGCTCATTTTGGGTCACCATATAAGAATGGTGGTTCCTCTAGAGAGAGAGGGAGCTGGAGTCTGCTGTATATAAGATTCAATTTCCTCTTAGAGAGAAGAAAGCTTCATATGGAGATAAACATTGTGATGGTGTTTCTTGTTGACTCTTTAAGATTGAGAGGCTTGTTTCTTGTAGAGAAGTGGTTCCCATGGATATTTTGGGTTGTTTACTCTTTTAGTGAGATAAAATCTCGTTTGCTCACAAAGTTGTTATCTTCTTAGAAAGTGGTATAGTTATGGAATAAAGATGAGAGATCGGCATGGTGCCGTTTGGGACAACAAGTTTAAAAGGGGGTTTGTTCGATTTGTGTTTTTGTTGATGTTTGTTCTAAAATCTTTGATGCAACTTTAATTGGAATAGTAGATTTTTGTTTTCCGTGCTCGTGGATGTAGCCATTTTGGGGTGAACCATGTAAATCTTTGTGTTTTTTGTTGTATGTGTTTCATGATTTATTTTTTGAATTTTATTTGTCAAAAAATCAACCCATCAGGTTTAAAGCTTCCGTGCCCAACAAGTGGTATCAAATATAATAGGCAAGTGGGCGTATTGAGACCAAAATCTCGAAGTAGATGTATGGAAGTTTGGAAAAAGAATATTATAAAGCAAAGCAACAAGATGTATTTTTTTTTGGTTCCATCCTATTTTTAAGGAAAGCATTTCATGTTTTAGTGGATAATTAAATTGAGGAATATTAATGAAAGACAAATACAAAAGAGAAACAAAATAAAATAGGGAACATCACATATTCATTGAAGGATTGGCTAAATTTATGCACAAAAGGGGAAAATACTGCTTGGTATTTCAAAGGAATATTCAGCTTGAAGACAAAAATTAGGGCTTCATTTGAGAGGGAGAGAGATGGGGATCAAGATTTAGAGACATTTGCACCCATTCCCTTACAGCACCAAGAGAGGGAAAGGGGTAGGGAGTCCATACTAAATAGGAGAGCGGGAGAGCGGTAATTCAGCACGTTGTGTTTCCATTCTTATTGACATTGTCCCAGTAATACCTTTTCAAAAATTAATTTCTAAAATATTTGAAAAACGGGTAGAGAACTATTTTCTCACTGAAGTATGGAAAAAAAAAAAAAAGGTTTATAGGTCTAAGTTGACACGTCAAGGACATAACATGACACAATGAGAGTGCTACATGTCTGACTCTTTGAAAACTTGGATACGTTTTCTTGGTAGTTTCTCCATGGAAGTTTTTAATACCACCTTCTAAATAAAAGATGTATTTATATAGTATCTAGAAACGTGAATTTTGATATACACATTTGAGACACTAGCTTGTGTTAGATGGCAACGCGTGTATTCCCATGTTTTGCAACTTAAGTTTTACTCCAAATATGTGATTGGTTTGGATATAATTAAATAGAGTTGAGGCTCTAAACTATCAAAATAAAGCATACCTTCAAATAATGGCAATACATGTTTCATTATTAGAAATCTTCATGATAGCTTGACGCTTTATTTTCATATCTACTTATAACATTTAAATAGTAAAAAATAATGTAGATTGATCAGATCTATGACCGGATCCTACATTTCAGGTTCAATTTTTGGACCCATACCTGGACTTGGTTCGGATCTACCCTTAGTCCCGGGTCGGGTCGGGTCGGGTCGGGTCGGGTTGGATTGGATCCATTGCCTCCCCTGTGTCCAACGAACCCTTGTTAACATGTGACACTGGTGTGTGCTGCGCTAAGAAAATTTAGAAAACTCAAGTGCCATCTTTGTTACCTACTTCGGCAGCGGGCGTTCGGGCGTTAGGTGATCAGGACCACAGACAACACTACGTTGAGACCACAGACAACACTAGGTTGAGCTCCCAGAAAACATGGTCACGTTTTCTCCTTTTTTTAATTTCAAATATTACATAGCGTCTTTATTTACTAGTAAGATCAAATTAAGAAAATAATAGTTCAAAAAATATTTAATCTCAAATATTACATAGCGTCTTTATTTACTAGTAAGATCAAATTAAGAAAATAATAGTTCGAAAAATACTAAAAGCTCCCCAACTCAAAGCTTAGAAAATTGTTCATAAGGTGAACAAAAAATTATCCAAAATTTTATATGCTAACAACATCTCCATAGGGATGGGCCAAGTAATTAGGTGGTATAGCTGGACCACTATAATCCATTTCGTCACATAACTTTTTAGGGGAGGTCTTTATGCGTCTGGGGTCGCAATGCTACAATGGCGTCCCACGCATAAAACATCTATCTTAAAGTTGGATGTAAAGTGTCTAAAAATTATCTTCAAAGGTTATATATTTTTTTTTTAATTTTATTTTATTTTATACATACCACTCCAGAATGTG